CAGGAGGGTCCCAGCCCACCAGAGCCGCCTCTCACAGCCACAGCCCGGCCCCGTTGGCTCACCCTGAGCTGGGCTGTGCCAGGGCAGCAGCTCTGCTTCCTGTGCAGAGCCCCACAGCAGCCCTGGGATAATCTCCCCTGCTGCCAGCAGCAGCCAGGAATGGTTTTTGGGGCAGGAGCAGCAGCTCCCTTTGATGTGCAGCTCCCAGTGCCGCTCAGTGCCCGTTCGGTGCCCCGGGATAACGGCACCGACACCGGGGCCGAGGAGGAGCTTTGGGCTGGACAGCTTTCATCTCATCCATGTACACACACACACACACACATACACAGACATGACATGTTTGAATCTTGCACAAATTTGTCATAATTTCCTCCTCTCTGAAGTGAGGATGTTTGCTGGAGCAGCTGCGCTGGCTGTGCCAGAGTGGATTTCATTTACGGCTGAAGCCGCTCAAACAAAACTGGGCCCGGTGCCAAGCGTTGCTTTTGGATGTGATGGTTTTGCTGGGCTTTGGTGGAGGAGGGGGGATATAAGGTAACAGAAATGGGGGGGCAAATGGCYGGGAGAGGCCCCGGGAGAGGCGGGCGCAGGGCTGGGGATCGGGTGGCAAATCCCACTTGATGTGGAGAGGAGACAAAACCCCCTTGTGTGGGGCAGGGGGAGGCTGGCGGAGCTGCTGTGGCCCCCAGAGCAGTTGTTGCTTCTGGCTCCAGTTTGGGGGAGTGAGGGGGGTTGACCTTTTTTTTGTTTGTTTTTGAAAAGATGAGAAATTGTCTGGTGGAGATGCCCTGGATGGGGAGCAGGTTCTGCCAAAAAATGGGGCAGAGCTGCGGTTTCCCCCTTATTCAACCCTGAGCTGTGTCCTGAGGCTTCCCCAGGGAGAGGAAATGGGAAGAAAACCCCTTTCTGTGGTAAATTGCCTCAAAATCGCAGCACCTCTCCTGCCTGCAGGAGGAGCAGGGCAGCAGCTCCCGGGATCCCTCCGGGTGCTTTCCTTGGAGCGGGTCCGGAGCGCAGGAAACCTGAGCAGTGGAACAGATTGCAGGAATGTCACCAGCTGTGAACACACGAGCTCCTCTTTCCCTCCCTGACCCCTTTCTGGAGGAGACGGAGGTTGAAAGCAAAGGTTTTTCTTTCCAGTTTCTCAAAAGCCTGAAATCCTCCTTTATTTCCATGYGCTGCCCTCGGAAGATGGGTCAGAGCTGAGATTTTGGGGGCGCTTTGCCAGCCCTGAGCGATTCCATGTAAATGCTCTGAGCTTCCTCTGAGGTGAGAGGGGCRGTGCTGGAGGAGAGGGAGGCTCTGTCCCAGGAGGGAGCACCCTGGGCTCCCCCAGCTCCGTTCTGCTCCCCAGCCGTGCCCAAGGTCAGCCGGGATAAACACCAGGGAGGAGTTTCCTGCCTTTAGAGAGAGGGATTTGGCTTTTCCCCGATAAAAACAGGAGAAAACCACCCCAAGCAGCGGCAGCRGTGCCAGGGCACTGGCCGTGACATGGGCTGGTGACAGGGGTTCGTCCTGCCCTCCTGGACATCAGGGTGACCTTGGGACCACGATGGTCCTACCATGGCACCTACAAGGTGACACCATGGTCCCACAGTGTCCCCTGCCATGGCATCTACAAGGTGGCTGTGGGACTACAATGTCCCTTGCCATGGCACCTACAGGGTGACCACAGTCTGACAATGTCCCCCACCACGGCATCTACAAGGGGAACTTCAATGTCCCCCTCCATGGTCCCACGGTGCCCCCCTCCATGGTCATAGCATGTCCCCCACCATGGTACCACAATGTCATGATGTCCCCCACCATGGCACTTACAAAGTGGCACAATGTCCCCCACCAGAGTCCCACAATGTCCCCCACCATGACACCTACAAGGTAACTGTAGGACAGTGATGTCCCCCACCATGGCACCCACAGTGTGACCATGGTCCCACAATGTCCCCCTCCATGGTCCCATGATCTCCCCCCCTCATGGCACCTACAGTGTGACCATGGTCCCATCATGTCCCCTGCCATGGCACTTATAGTGTGACACCATGGTCCCAYGATGTTCCTCCCCATGGTCTCACCCTGTCCCCCCCATGGCACCTACAAGGTGACTCCACAGTCCCACCCCGTCCCCCCCACAGCACCTGCCGTTTCACATCCTTGCTTTGCAGAGGTTCCTTGCAGGGGTCCAGGGGCTCCTTGCAGGGAAGCACGAGCTGAAAGCCCCTTTTGTTCCCGCACACCTCTTCCCCCACCTCCACCCCCATATTTACGGATTTGCTTTCCCTCCCGGCCCCTCGGCTTGTGTTTATTTTTCCCCTCAGCCGCATTGGTGTGAAGGTGGCTCAAAGCAGCTCTGTTCTCCCCCACGAGTGGTGTTCAGGATTCCATGGCAGCCTTTTCTCTCTCCTCGTTTGCAGCCTGGTTTCCTGGCCGGCGAGATGGGAATCGCCAGCCCCAGCACGCTGTCCCCCACTGCAGCCAAAGGGGCGTCGCAGTATTTTTCTTACCCCAACAATCCTCGCAGGAGAGGTGCTGAGAGCAGCATAGGTGAGTGATGGCATGTCCCCAGTGCCACCACGCCCCTGGGTGGTGTCACCTCACTGGAACTGCCTTTGGGAATGGGGAGTTGATGCTGGGAATGAGGGTGGTGATGTTGAAAAAGAGGGTGGTGATGTTGGGAATGAGGGGCTGATGCTGCAGTGTGTGTGCCTGCATTTGCTCATTTTTGGGGGGGGAACACACATAAATATCCTTTATCTATATACACAGATACCTGACTTCAAAAAAAAAGGGTGCTGGGGGTACAATTTCCCTCTTTCTGGAAAATGCCAGATGAGCTGCAAGCAGCAAATGGCTTCAGGTTCTAGTTCRAACTCCTCCAGCCCCGCTGCACATCACTCATCCTTCCTGGAACACCCTGGGCAGCTCAGGGGCCGTTTTTGGGGCTGGGGGCTGCAGCAGGCGAGGCTGGCAGGGGCAGGGGGGCAGGAGGGGCTGGCACCATGCCCTGGGACTCGGGCAATGTTTGCTGCCATGTGTTACCCACATCTGGATGTAGCTGGGAACAGCTTTAGGCAGGGTCAGGTGTGAGTTAACCCCGCAGGGAAGGCAGCTCTGCTTCCCCAGAACTCGTGTTTCTGTCACAGTTCCCCCTGCACCCTCCAGGTTTACTTTCCTGCCGCTATTTTGGGCTTTCCCCAACAAACGAAACCAGAAGTGACCCAGCCACGGCTGCGTTTTTCAGAGAAAAGCACCCACTGCCACTGCAAAATCATTCTGTGCGATGAATTTCTGCTCTGCAGATCCAGCAGAGGCCCTGGTGTTAGCACCCTGCACCCCCCAGCCAGGGCTTGCCTAAATGTTGGAAAATAATAGGAAATAATGATGAAAAATAATAAAAATAATTATGGAAAATAATAAAAATAATTATGGAAAATAATAAAAATAATGTTGGAATAGTATTTTTAAAATGTAAAAAAAAAATTGTGAAAAATAGAATTTAATTTTTTTTTCCCCTTGAGCCCACCAGCTCCATGAATTGTCCCCTTCCCCCAGGACACCGTGTCCCCCTCCAGAGCAYACCCCTGCCTCCTGCAGCTTTCCCAAGTACATCCGTGTGGAGGGAGCAAATGAAAATAGAGCCCAGCCCTGCATGGGTTCCCTTTCCGCATCCTCTCTCCATAAACCCACTTCAAGTTAAAATGTCTCCCAAAAAAAMCCCAATGAGGAGTTACAACATTAAATGTTATTATATTTATGGGCTTAGTCTCCTCCGAGGAGCTCTTGGTGCCCTGGCATCTCTGTCTGGGGGTGAAACCTGTCCCCAAAGGCTTCAGGGACATTCAGAGAGGCTCATCTTTGGACATTGTTACCCTTGATGCTTTTGGGACATTTGGGATTTCAGCCACCTGTACCTGCAGCTTCCAGCCCTGGAGACTTCCACTGCAGCTCCCTTCCCCTCCCACTAACCCAGCTGAAATTTCAGAGTCTCTTTTCTCCCCCTAACGCAGATGGACAGCCCAAAAAGGTTCGGAAGGTGCCTCCTGGACTCCCCTCCTCGGTGAGTGGCAGCGGCGTGTTCCCATTCCCCATCCCCTGAGAATCCCCTCTGCTCCCTGAGCCTGCGGGGCTGTGACCCCAAACCCAACCCCAACCATCGGGGACTGGGGTTTCCCAGGAGGGGGAAGGGTTTCCATGGAGAACAACCATGGAGGACTGGGATTTTAGTGGGATCAGGAAGCGTTTTCCCATAGAGAACAGCCATGGAGGGCCGGGATTTTACGGGGTGGGGAAGGATTTTCCATGGAGGAGAACACAGCATCAAGGCTGGGATTTTAGCAGGATGGGGAAGGGTTTTCCGTGAACATCCATCAAGAACTGGGATTTTAGTGGGATCAGGAAGGGTTTTCCTTTGTGGCACTGGATGGGCTTTAAGGTCCCTTCCTTTACAAACCCTTCTGGGATCCAATGATCTCAGGTGAACAACCATGGAGGGCTGGGATTTTAGCAGGACCAGGAAGGGTTTTCCCATGTGGAACAGCCATYGAGGGCTGGGATTTTAGTGGGACTAGGAAAGGTCTTCCTTTGTAGGAGAACAACCATCAGGGGCTGGGGTTTTAGCAGGATCAGGAAGAGTTTTCCCACGGATGAGAACATAGAAGAACATGGAGGAGAACATAGCATCAAGGCTGGGATTTTAGCAGGGTGGGGAAGGGTTTTCCTTTGTAGAACAACATTGATGGCTGGGACTTTAGTGGGATGGAGAATGTTCTCCTTTGTAGGAGAGCAACCATCGAGGACTGAGATTTTAGCGGGATCAGGAAGGGTTTTCCTGTGGAGAAGAACAACCATCAGGGGCTGGGATTTTAGCAGGGTGGGGAAGGGTTTTCCATGGAGGACAACCATGGAGGGCTGGGGTTTTAGCAGGACCAGGAAGGGTTTTCCTGTGTAGAACAACATTGACGGCTGGGATTTTAGCGGGATGGGGAACGGTTTTCCTTTGTAGGAGAACAACCATCAGGGGCTGGGGTTTTAGCAGGATCAGGAAGAGTTTTCCCATGCAGAACAACCATGAAGGGCTGGGATTTTAGTGGGACTGGGAAGGGTCTTCCTTTGTAGAGGAACAACGATC